TTTAATTGAAAGGGGGCTTTTTTTATAACAAATAAAAACACTAAATAAATAAATACCTCTTTATCTTCCCAGTGTAATTTTCTCAGTGCTTTTAATACTTTGTCTACACTTTTCCTGCTAAGGTCTGCATAAACAAGTTTAAGAATATATTTTTCCATCACAGAACGTTCCTTTTTAACAACTGCTGTTCTATCAGGTGGATTACACTGATAATATGCATTTTCCACCATCAAAAGTTGACGATTATCTAAATGTTGGACATTTTTTTTCCTAACCATAATATCCAACATATTTCCCATTCTGGTACTGGTATCAGGACTTTTAAATAAAAATCTTCCACAAGTTTCCAACAAATTACATGCAATATCAATATTATGATTTGCAAAATCATCAAGAACTATTTTCAAACAATGAAAGATAGCATGTTGTGGAGTAATTTTGAATTTTGTTAGTTCAGAAAGATATCTTATATTCTGTTTAATTTCCAAAATAATTATTAAGTAATGTTAGATTTTTCATTAAAAAAACATTAACCACAAAATAAATTATAAATATAAAATATAAATTATCAATGAACCTTAATTTTAGTTTCAAGCAAATCAACAGTTTTTCTCCTTTGTAAAGATTTGAATTCACCCTCCAACTATTTTATTTTATAAAAAATTTAATTCGAATTGATTAAAAAAAAAAAACTTTAGAAAAAAATCTTACCCCTTGCAAAACTGATGATGTTATATCAGGATAATGTGGATTTAATGTAGCAATCAATCGAGAGTAATACGGAAGAAGATCTAATCTAATGCGAGGTACTCCCAATAAAGTCTGATTAAACAATAAAAGAAAAGCACACGTATATTGAATGAAAACAATTAATACAATAATAATAATTATTATTATTATTAAAAAAAATAATCATTTTGTACCTTGATTAATTTCTTTCTAGACGCCTTAGAATTTAAATAACAGAAATCGACTGCAGCCCGATCAATCAAATCACGATTAATCATGTGTGGAAGACGTGATAACAAAGCATCAAGTTGTGCAGAAGTCCCTGTTTTATTTGCAGAATCTGTTTCCTTCTTTAAGTTGCCTGAGGTATCTTCTTCGGCTTGTTCATTTTCTTTTTCAAAATCTTTTGCTTCATAATCTTGACTTGGACAAATTTAGTATTAGCACCTTGTACAAACAATTGCATCACCCATGTAACCATAATACTAGGACAATGCAGGGATGAATCTTTTTAAGGAACCTGATTTCAAAACAATCATGTCTGGGATTTGCAAAAAATAAATGAATAAATACAAATATAATAATAAAAATAATACCAATAAATATATAAAAAATAAAAATCATAAATAATGAGCAAATTTAAGAACCAAGAATCCTTAGATAGTATTTTGATCCATGATGTATTGATTAAATTAAATTCATCCGTCATTTCTTCCTTAAGTTTAACAAATGGTATTGTGTCACCAAATTCTCATTCTCTATTGCATACTTTTTTGTTTCTTCCTCCACTTCTTTCAATTATATCCAAATTAATAACTTCCGATAATTAACTATTTGTAGTTTAAAGAAATATATTTTGATATTTTTCTTATATGTGAAAAGAAAAAAATAATTATAGTTATGCCATCTACTGAACAGGGAAGATTTTCTCATGTTAATTCTCTCAAACAGGGGAATTGAGATGTCGCTTTTGACTTCCACAGCCTGTATCCCTTTTTTATGTTGTTCTTTGATAGGTCTAGATGGATGTGCTGGAAGTCTGCCTGATAAGTCCGATATACCATCATTATCTTCGTCTTGTAATTGATTGATCATCCTTGTTGTGTTAATTAAACCCTCCTTGAATAACATGGAGAAAAGTCAATAAATTAAAGCACAGCAAGAAAGAAAGAACATTTGTGAAAACAATTAAAATGTACCTTCAATTCCCAGAGTAACACCACAAAATCAAAAATATATTTCTTTTGTTCCTCATAGCATATGGGAACAGTTGCTTTGTGTGTACGTTCCCATTGTAAAATCCCCCTAGTGTGATTGTACATTTGCCACAACTCAATTTTTTCTTCTATGAATACAAATTAGAATGAATAAAGCTATTAGCACCAATAAACCACAAAATCCAAATAAATACTTACCATAGGTATGCACGAAGAAGACACATGTGCTTGCAAATGATTTTGATGATGCCTTTCTATATCTTTCGCCGATTTCTTCAAGCATGTACATATTCCCCAAGGGTCCTTTACAGCAGCCATCCCAAGTTGAACGTGGAACCTCATGGTGGCCATGTCCTCCGCTCATTTCAAGGTGTCCAATGTCAATAAATGATCTCTTTAGACGTGTTAAGAAAATGCCATCCGCTTTTTGCTCAAAAGGTTTGCATTTTCTCCTTTTGCAGCAGGACTTGATTGACGATAATACAACCTCTCCACTGGGGAAAAAAAAGCAAGGCAAATATTATAAGTTGTACATCATATAACAATACAACAAAAAAAAAACAATTACGGTTCATAAAGCAAGTGGTCTTCCAATCCTGAAAGAAGTTCTATGATACAAGGATGAATTATGTACGATCCATAAGAAGCTTCTGACACACCAATTTGTTGCATAATGGATTTCTGTGGAAAAACAAATTGATGACTGGAAACATTTTTTAGTCGGCAGGTGGATTTGGAAAGAGGTCAAATAAAAACAAACACTTACAATCGAGACAAAATCTTAACAAAAAACGATGTTAGACCATCTGGAGGTACTGATATTAGACTTAATTGTTCGATTTCTTCCGAATAGTTATTCAGCTTCATTAACTCCTTTATTTTGATTTTTTCCAGTTCCTGACCCAAAGCTACGAGAGACTTCTATAATTGCATATTTTGATAGAAATATAAGAAACTGAAATCACATAACAACATTAGATATTAAGATAGTGAATACAAAACGTACATTTTTCAGCAGTTTTGTAACAAATTCTGGAGGGTTTATAATACTACAGTCAACCCCCTCTAAGTGCACCCCCCTCAGGAATGAGTGATAGCGTGCACTTAGAGGGGGTGTGCACTTAGAGAAACAAAGCATTTCATTGGTTGCACATGATACCAATAAAGAATAAAATTTTTTTAAAAATTTATTAATGTATATTAATCAATACTGTTACATTATTATCACCAAAAAATAAAATTTATATAATTATTGATTAAGATAAGATTCCATTGTACTTTGCCTCATT